AGGCAGGGGCTTTTGCCTGCTAAGCTATAACCCCAGCCCGTCCCAGAAGGTTTTCATGTCCAAGCTTATCGTGGCTTTACCTATAAATCTCCATGCCTGTCATCCCAGAACTTGGAAGGCTGAGGCAGGAGGATCGCTGTGAGTTCGGGGCCAGTCTGGGCTACATAATGAGATCCTGTCTCAAAGAAAAAAAAAATCCAAAGCCAGGTGCTGTCTCAGAGTTCTTTGCATGACTGTGTGCCCTGATGCTTTTTTTGTTTGTTTGTTTTTTGATATGAGGTCTCGCCTAGTCACTAAGTTGCCTATGCTGGGCTCAAATTTGTGATCCTTCTGCCTCAGCCTCCCAAGTGCTGAGATTACAGGCATGTGCCACCATGCCTGGCTTGTTAGGAGATAGTTGAGCACTTACTATGTGCCAGGTACACTTCTAGGAACTGGGGACACAGCAGGGAACAGATCAGAGCCCCTGGCTACAGGGACCAAGTCAGGGGTGTCCCAAGGGCAGGAGTCCCTGAAGACTACTGGACTGAAGGAGTAGTGGGTGGTGGCTAGGGCTCCCCGGGTGGAAGGGATACCACATGGAGGCCCAAGGCAGGAAAGCTGCAAGGATCAGGGGAGGCTGGGAGAGCCAGGTCGATGGGGAGGGTGGGGTGGGGAACACACCCAAGGGTACGGGGCAGAGCCCTGGCCAGCGCCCGAGTCCCTTGGGCCTGCATCTCCTTCCTCTAACTCCAGATTCTATCCTAGCCCAGAGCTTGGCGTCCCTGCAGCCCCGCAAGAAGGACCTGCTCACGGTGCCCGAGGTCCCTATGCTTTCGGAGGCACGGCCCCTGACACTGGAGGAGATGGAGGATGTCGGCAAGCACTACCGGGAGCGCAGGCGGCAGCTCAAGGTGCCAGCCAGGACCACCGGAGGGGCTGCACCCCTGTGACAAGGACACTGGGCCGCAGCAGGGTTTGGGATGTGGAAGAGTCAGGCTCAGAAAGTGCTGAATCCATGCATGCACGCGCGCACACACACCCACACACACACACACACACACACACACACACACACACAGCAGCCTGTTCTTTAATCAAGACTTTTCTATTTTTGGTTTTGTTCAGAGGAGGTCTCACTATGCAGTTCAGGTTGGACTCACTTTGTAGCCCAGGCTGGCCTCAAATTCTTGGTGATTCTCCTGCTTCAGCCTCCTGAGTGCTGGGATGATAGTGTTCTTTAATTAGGACTTTTCATCTGGAGACCAGGGTTGCGCCTTTGTCACAGTTGGAACCTGGTGCCTGGCTCCACGGTGCGTGGACGGCAGAAGGGATGGGCTCGCTCGATGGCACGCACAAGGCCGTGGGCTCATCCCACACTGCACCACACTGCATCACACAAAACCAAACCAAACTGAATGGCAGGCTCTGCAGGCCATCGGGTCTCCGTGGCAGGTTTTGGGCTCTGCTGTCGGGGACCCCACGTACACTCAGCTGTGAAGCTGCAATCCCGTATGAATTGACTTAGGAGAGCATGTGCCCAGCTGGGTTTGACCTGGGGGCTGTCCCTTGCTGATTCTGGTGTGAGAAGTTTTAAAACACATTCCTTGGTTCTTATTTTTAAAAAGAAAAAGAAAAAACAGAGCTGGTCATGGTATCACATACCTGAAATGCTAGCTATTTGAGAGGCTGAGGCAGGAGGATCTTAATGAGACTTTGTCTGAAAATGAAAATCAAAAACCAGAAAAACCTAAGGGTGTAGCTCCATGGTAGAGAGCCAGGGGTTCCATCCCCTGTGCCACACAAAAGGGAGACAGGGAGGGGAGACAGCGGAGGCCCAAAAAGAGCCCCCCTGCGAGCCCGGACTGTGTCCCTGCAGCTCTCCATCCCCTCCATCGAGTACACGGAGAGCTGCCGCCTGGTGCGCAGTGGGGACCGGCGCGTGGACAGTCACTGCCTGCCGTCCACGGTGGCTGGTGAGGGCCAGGATCTGCTGGACTCTGAGCGCAGGGACGGCTTCCTGCTCTACCTGCGCTGTGGGAGGCAGTGCGTGGCCTCGGGGCTGCCAGTGAGGGAGGATGTCCTCAGCCGAGGTAAGGAGAAGGCAGGGAGGCGGTCGGTTGGTCAGGCCTGAGCTCACTCCGGAGCGGGCAGCTATGGCCCCGCTCTGTCTTTGAGAGGCACGTCTGGTAGGAATAACTGCCGCCCAAACCACTGCTGCATCCTGGCATGGAGGCACATATCTGCCATCCCAGCACTCAGGAGGCCGAGGCAGGAGGATCACTACAAAGTCTAGGCCAGCTTAGACTACATAGCAAGACTTTGTCTCAAAAAAGAAAAAAAAAAAAAAAAAAGGAAAGAAAAACACCATACTGTACCCCACAAATCCATATAAATACCATGTCAATTGAGAGAAAAACTTAGGGAAAACTAAAAGGACATTTCACAGCTATAAGAAAAGCAGAAAAGCCAGGTGTGGTGGTGCACACCAAAAATCCCACTACTCAGGAGGCTGAGGCAGGAGGATTGCTACAAGTTTGAGGCCAGTCTGGGCTATATAGTTAGTTCAGGGGCAGCCTGCACTTTACAGCAAGACCCTGTCTCAAAAAAACAAAAAAAAAAGGGAGAAAAATATTTTTAACAAAAATGTGAATTTGTTAATAAAACAGTCCCCACCGACCCCAAAGTCCAGGAGCAGGGTCTTGGGCTCACTGAGCCGGTCCTCTTGATGTCCACAGCGCTGCTGTACCCGGGGGACAGGATCATCCTGCAGGACACCCAAGTGCGCCCCATCCGGCAGCCTGGTGGCTTCTACTCGGATTGGAAGCCCATGGCCCCGCACCTGGCCACACACAAGATGCAAGGCCCAAGGCTGGGGCCCCACAAGAGCGACAAGCTGAGTGTCCCTGTCCTGCCCGCCCACCATCATCCCTTCTGCTCTGGCCAGGATACTGGCCACTTGGTGACCCGTGTCTATTTGCTGCCCTCACTGGTCACCTGGGATGGCGGCCCCAGCGCCTCCCACGTGGCATGTGTTCTGGCTCAAGGCTCTCACCTCAGCAACACGCAGCCGCCCTCCTGGCCCCAGTCCAGGCCCACAGTCACCACCCTGGGTGTCAGTGGAGATGGTCCTTCCCGGCCCTGCCACCCTACTCTGGCCAACTCACTTTCCTGCAAGCAGGAAGCACCGCTGGGCCTTCCCTTGGCCTGTCCCTGATACACAGCGGGACTGGATGGGGCTGCGTGACATAAACGGCTTCAGGCAGATGGACAGGCCCCTCTGCTCCCCAGGCCTTAGCAATGCCTTGGATAAATGGCACTGGCGGATGCCTGTCCTGGAAGAGCCTTGTAGGACCGGAGACAAGTCAGGAAGAGGACCAGGCAGGGTAGAAACCAAGGGAGAGGAGCTGGGCATCATCTCAGCACTTAGGAGGCTGAGGCAGGAGGATCACATGAGTTCAAGGCCAGTGTGGGTTACATAGTGAGTTCAAGGCCTTCCTGGACTACAAAGAGAGGCCCTGTCTCAAAAACAAAAGAAAAGAACCAAAAGAAAAAAGAGAAGAACTAAAGGTACTAAGGGAGGCAGATGTAAAATGTAGCCAGAGACACCAAGCACCTTCCTGCCAGGTCCCTGTGACATTGCACGGCGAGGGCTGGTTATGTCCCTGTGCTGGCCCGGGCTGGCAGAGCTGGGTGGGTGCCCAGCAGTGGCGGCTCGAGGACTTCTGTCCCCATGTGACCACTTTCTGCCATGGTTCCTGGCTTGGGTTCCCATGAGCCAGGAGATGGGCGGGTGCAGGACAGGACCGTGTCCGGCGGAGGAGGACAGAGAGCAGGGCACAGAGAGGCCGAGGTGAGGCTGGGACGCAGCTGGGCAGCACCTGCCTGGTGCCTGGAGGCGCGGGTTCCACCTGAGAGACACAGAGGAAAGCAAAGAGCCTGCGAGGCCAGCTGTGGGCTCGGCCGCAGGGCAGGCAGGGCCCCGGACTCCGCGGCTGCCACCCGCTGCTGCGCTCTCTCCAGCGCCCCCTGGGAGAAGAAACTCTGCTTCCGGGGCTCCGCACCCCAGCCCGCTCCTAACAGCACCCCTCTTGCTTCCCATCAGGAAGGCCCCACAGGACAGCAGGAGGACGCCCTCTAAAGAAGCCCAGGAGGTCACCAGGTTGGCAGCAGCGTCAGGATGGGGGGCCCACACAGGCGGGGTGGGGGTGGGGCTGAGGGCCCGAACAGCAGAGGGACGAACTTGGTGTAGGTGTGAATCAGGCGGACCCCATGATATCCTCTGGCCTCTCCACGGGGAGACTGTGGCTCCAGGTGAGCGCGGCCTGGCACAGTGACACCCTGGGGCCGGGGTTCAGAGACAGCTGCCGGGTCAGGCCCGCGCCCCCAAGGCCCTGGGTCCTGGCCGGGGAGGTGGTCCTGAAGCCCGCGTTGCATCCCATACTCACTGCCCATGGGTCACAGGTGCCCATTGTACCCCGAGGAGCCGGACCTGCCCTGTCCAGGTGACAACTTCTCATGTCTTTCTTTTCCAGGAAGCTGAAGGCGAGGAGACGCGGGGGTATCCAGCGAACCCACCCCAACGCCTTCTGGCCAGGGCACCTGCTGGACAAGCTGCGGCTGTGCCTGCCCTCGAAGGCCACAGACCGGAGCCTGGCGCTGTTCAGCTGCGTCCGGCAAGAGCGCCACGCCTACCGGGCCACCTACCACCCTGACCGCTGGTGGCCCCTGCAGGACAAGAACTACATGACCCAAGCCCACTATGATTCCCCCAAGGTGTACGCCATCAACTAGAGTGGCTGGTGTCGCTGTGACGCGGCAGGGGTCCGGCCAGGCCAAAGACGCTGAGTCAGGGTGGCTGGACCCCACGTCCCCGCCCCAGAAGAGTGTCACTGCTGCTCTTCTGGCCTTGGCCTTTGTAAATAAACCAGCAAGAGCTTTTCTCACCCGACCTGGGTCCCAGCCTGTGTGACTGTGTGCGTGCCTGGGGCACGGAGTGGGCATTTTCCCTCCGACCCCCGGCAGGGAGTCGCCCTGGACACTCGGGAGCCACAGGAAGCCGCAGGTGGCACGGGCCCTGCACCTCCACGAGATGAGCTGGCGCCTGTCCCTCACTCCAAGGCTGAGCTTCTGGGTTCACAACTCAGCGTCTTGGAGGCTGGGAACGCCCTCGGGTTCACAAGCCCTCCCAGCCGCCCAGCCCTTTCCCTCACGGGCACAGCATGGGGGCTGCCACTAACAGCGCTTCTGGCCCCACGAACCCATGGAAAACACACAGTCCCGGGACTGGGGATTTAGCTCAGCGGCACAGCGCCTGCCTAGCAAGCGCAAGGTCGTGAGTTTGATTCCCAGTACGGGGGGGGGGGGGGG